TGACTGCAGGACCCTGCTGGGGAAAACTGCATCTTTGCTTTCTCTAGCCTCTACCCAGAAGGTTGCATCCTCTTGCAGGACAAAAGGAGGCAGCCAAGCCTCCCGCAGAACCAGCCAGGAACGCGCAGCAGTCACTGGCCTTTCTTTTCTTTTCTTTTTTTTTAAGACAGATTTTTGTTATAGGGCACATATGCTGGCCAGAGACACAGCGAGAGAGACAGAGAGAAAGAGAGAAATCTCCCCCCAGGGGGATGGCCATGCCGCAATCCCTTCTCCATTCTCCTCTAAGGATCTTGGGCACGCACGCACACGCGCCCATCGTGAGTTTAAGCCACCGGGTCTGGGACTCAAACTGTGGTCGACTACATGGGAGTCCAGTGACATAGCCATTATGCCAACTGCTGGTCCCGACAACGCCAGCTATTTTAGATCTTAGCTCTAACCTCTCTCCCGAAGCCCCGTCTGGTCAGGGCCCTCATGTTCTCTCACCATCCTTCAGTCCCTTATCAGAATGTGGATTATGCCCATTTCCCTTGAAGCAACCTCCCCCTCTAGACTCGCGAAGCTCCAGGAGGGCAGCTAGGAGCCTGGCAGGCCGCAGGTGCTCAGTGGCTGTCTGTTGCATACACACCGGAGCCGTTGGGGGAGAGTGACTATACAGGGGGGTCCACCACACAGGGAAGGACTGCCTGGAGTTCTCCAAACGCTTCCAGGCTAACTCTGGAGAAGGGAGGAGGCCCTCGGAGAATCTGCTCCATGTTTCTGTGAAGAGCTGCCTTGACAGTCAGACCCCCTTGCAGCCAGAGGGGCCTGCGACAGGCCTGAGCTCCCGACCCTTGTACCTCAGATGAGGGAGGCCCAGAGGCCACAGAAGCTGCTGCAGCACAATCCTGAGAGCCGTGTCGGGCCAGAGGAGGGGAAGAGAGGGAGGCCTTCGAGGGCAGGGGCCCACCCGTACATCCTTGGGCAGGCCCCAGGAACCCCTTTCCAGGCATAGGAGAGGCCTAGAGTACAAAACCTCAGATTCAGGTTGGGGAAGCCTGAGGTCAAGGCCAGGGCCCATCCAGCTGTCATCTCCTAACCTCAGAGGCATTACCCCGCGTATGGACTGGCCTTGACCTCTAGATTCCCTTTTCTTCAAGGCCTTTTCCCAGCCTTTAGAGTAGTAATGGGATCGGCTCCTACATCTTGCTGGTAGCCAGTTATATTAACCCACTGTTCGGATGCAGAAACCGAGGTTCAGAAGACTTAAGTCACCTGCCCAAGGCTTCTACGCTTAGAGAACCAAGCCCCATTGGTAGGATTCCAAAGTCCATGAAATTAAGGCCTGCCACTCTGGGCCTGCTTGCTCTGGATGAAGAATTCAAGAATTATCAGGCAGGTTTTTCCTAGTTCACTCTGTTCTCGTGGCCAGCATCTTTATGGGCGGAAAGGATACTGTTCAGGGTGGCAAAAAATGCCCAGGGCTGACTCTCTCTCAGAACAATGGGAAGTAAACACAAGCTGTCGATGGCGGAAGACTGCATGTGATCTCCTTTGATCGATCGTGTCTGGTTTGAGGGGAAACAGCTACACAAAGAGCCACGCCGAACCTGAGATGGATCACCGCCCGGCATGGCCCAGAGAATCCAGGCTAAATGGAAACTGGCTCCCCCGGGGCAGACATCGGGGGCAGCGGGGTCAGTGACAGCCAGCCTCCCAAGGACACCCTGCCCTGAACACCAGAGCAGAGACCTTCTATGATGTGAGCAGTGAGGGTTTAGGAGGTACTACTGCAGGTGCCCAGCGACCAAGGGCTCGTTTCCAAGTGTCTGATCCACATTCCCTGGGCCTCCACTCCACCAGGCGCCGGCTAGCACTGGGGATGCAAACAGGAGAAATACGTGGTCCCTACCTGCACTCCTGCTCTCTCCGGGGGAAGAGACTTAGAGCACAGAGTGACATGGCATGTATTTTAGCAAAGATATAAAAAGCATGTGAACTTGATGAGGGAAGGGATCTGGCCATGAGAAAGACACGTTTCATCCATCAAGATTAGGGGATTGGGCCAGACGTTGCCCAGCAATAAAACACAATACCCTGCAAACAACCCACATGGAAAGGTGACGAGTTTGCATCCAGCCATCTCCCTATGACATCAGTCCCATGATCTGGGACTGGTTGAGGGTGAATCAAAATGTCAAGACCCTGGTGGGGATGCTGTCACTCTCTTTCTGTCCCTCGCTCATGGAAGAAACAGACCTTAAAAAGAAAGATTTGGGTGGATTATTTGTTACTCAGCATCACCACAGCAAAAGCTTACTGATACATGGCATTGCAGACCAGTATCTGGCACTTAGAGGTGAATAAACATTATTTTGAGTTCCTCTCTCTCTGGAGAGATGTTGCAGGACTTGGTTGAATATGTAGAGGAGTGGTAGGAGCACAGCTGCCATTCCTTGCTGGGCCTTCCCTGAGTATTTCCCAGCCCCTCCCACCACAAAGACCCTCAATCAGAGGAGCCTTAGGGGGTGTGCCTTGGTTGTATGAACAGGTAGACTGAGGTCACATGGGTGAGGGGCTTTCTTGAGGGCACACGACATGGTAGGGACAGAGAGACTAAATATGTGGGGCATTGGACTCCAGGGATGGAGCCCAGGGCCCTGGACCCCCTGTAGGAAGGGCTTCCAGGAGGAGGAGGTTTCTGTCCTGTGGTCCCACATGGTGGCAGCACCGTGGATGAGGTTTCCAGCTGACTGTGTGCATGTGTGAATGAGCTAAGACATCGAGGCAGGAGCTGACCAGGAGGCAGAAGAGCTGGAGCCTCCCCAGCTCACTGTCACATCTCCTTACAGCTCAGGTGACACAAGCTCCCCACGCCGCTCTGGATTTAGCCAGTTCCTGGGAATGAACCTGTTTGTCTTGGTACAAATTCATCCTTGATTATCCTCAGTCACCAGGGGATCCTCTGAAAACCAAGTCAGATTACATCAGGGGCTTCCATCTCAGTCAGGGTGGAAGTCTCCCCTCAGTACAGGATCTGCCCTGCCCTGCCCTGCACTCACTCTGCCCTGGTCCTACTGCCCTGGGCTTTGCTCAGACACTCTGGGCACACTCCCACCTCAGGGCTTTGCACACATTATTCTTGCTCTTTGAAATGCTCTTCTCTCAGATGAGGGCATGGGCATCCCCTCACTTCTTCAGGTCTTAGATGTCACTTCCTACCCACTCCTACCTCTTCCCAAACCCCCTTCCCTGGTTTACACGTCTCCTTAGCACGTATCCCCACTTCACACACTGTAGTTCCGCTCCTCGTCTCACGCATCGTCTGTTACACCTGCTTCCCACCCAGTTCCGTAACGGGAGAAATGCCTCTGCTGTTCACCGCCGTATCCCCAGCACTCAGACCCGAATACAGCCCACAGCAACTGCTCAATATTTGTTAACAGAAAGGACGGAAGAGAAGGCGGGAAGGAGGAAACAGACAGGTAGGTGGGCAGATGGACGAGGCTTCGCAAGCACCAGTGAGATCCTTTGGTGAGGAAGCCCAGGGATGGTAGGGGTGGACAGCATCAGCTCAGAGGCAAGCAGGCCTGGGTCTGAATCCCGACTCCACCATGGTCTAGCTGCGTGACCTCGAGCAAGCCCCGTCTCGCTGAGCCGCCGTTTTCTGCTCTGTAGAACAGGGATCTTAGCAGTACATGCCACTCTGTGGGAGTGTGGAAAGAGACATGACTGAAAAGCACTATCACCGGGCCAGCTGGCGGCATAGTGGTTAAGGTGTTGGATCCCACACAGCTGACTGCGTGGTTGAGTCCTGGACCCAGTGATTGAAACACATGCCCGGCATGTGTGCATGCATGCCCGAAACCAGAAAGAAGAGATGGAGGAGAAGGGGTTGTGGCATAGCCATTCCCCAGCAGGGTGCTTTCTTTCGCACTTTCCCTCTCTCTGTCTCTCTCCAGTGAGCACACATGTCCCTAACAAATTAAAAACAAAACAAAATGAAAAGCAAGAAAAGCATTATCACCATGCCGTGTAACACTCTTGGCAAATGTCAGCAACTGTTACTGCTCTAAGGCCCAGGCTACTAACAGGGCTCAGGCTCTGGGCTGAGCACGAGGGACTCAGTGGTGCCTGCAGATGTAGTGGGTACCCCAAAGAAGCTAGTGGTCAGGGGGAAGGGGGACAGGTGGCAGGTCTGGACAGATTGCTAGAATATAATGAGACAGGCCTGGTGGTTAAGGGAGCCAGATCTCAACTGGGTACCCCACGCTGTTCAACTTGCAGTTCTGGTGGCTTGAAAAACACGCTGGGTGCATGTGTGTGTGTGCCCCGAATCTCAACAAGATGAAGTGAAGGAGAAGAAGGGATGCCGCATGGCCACGCCCCACTGAGTGATGCTTTCTCCCTCTCTCTTTGTCTCTGTCTCTCTCTGATGAGCATATATACTCTCTGGTAATAAAAAAAATAATTAGACTAAAAAAATACATATCTATAGTTATCTCTCCCTATCTCACTATATACATATAAAGAGAAACAGGGACGGAGAGAGACAAAACCAGGACAGAAAGAAGCCCAGGGACTGGAAGAACCTAGGGTGGAAAGTCACCCTCCTTGAGAAGATCAGGGAAGTCTTCTCGGAGGAGATGGCATCTGAGCTCTGGGAGACAGGCTATGTGAAGTGGAAGAACACCCCAGACAGACCATGTGGCATGTGAAAAGGCCACACGGTCTCTCAAGAGTTACAGCATAGAAACATCTTCATTTTTACACATGCTAAAACTGAGCGCAGAGAGGTCACACAGCTAGGAAATGACAGCGCTGGGATTTGAACAGAAGATATTCTCACTCCAGAGCCTAAGAACACCTGGTGAACTGGCACCCAGGGGAGATAGCGAGCACTAAGAACCTCCAGTCCTAGCCAGGGCCTTAAGGGGGCGGCAGAAGGGGCCACGGCCCGCCCCCCTGGCCCTGGCTGAGGGATTCCCACAGTCCCCACCCAGCAGCAATGACGGTACCTCCATCAGGTCTATAAGCCACAGCAGCCGCTCCTGGGGAGGAAGAGGGGGCAAAAGGCAAAAAGAAAAATGCATCAAACAAATATTAGGGAATGGGCAGGGCACCGCAACACCCCCTTCCCCAAACACCCATGCACACGTGTGCTCACACATGTGTGCTCACACATGCACACCACACACACACAAGATAAACAGCCTTCCTTCTCTATTTACCACAAACGCCTTGGACAGGAGTAGAAGGGAGAGGAGGAGAAAAGGCACTATTGCTACTGCCAACACTCCCGCCTGCCTTGCAGAAAACCGGGGTGGGGGGGTGCTCTGAAGAGACAAAACTTGCCCCTGAGAAAGGCCTTCAGAAGAAGCTCGTTCACCTGGGGGCAGGACTGGGATCTTCGGTCCCATTTGGCAAGTGGAAACAAAGGCTCAGAGAAGGCAAGTGACTAGTCCAGGTGCCTGGTAACGAAAGGCCGAGCCCGAAGGATGAGCCTACTTGGGAGCCTTTATCGGAGGCGGCCTGGGTTTCAGGGAGGCCCAAGATGTGCAGGGCCAGAGAAGCTGCCGGCCTGAGAGCTGGAGCCACGGGCAGGGCACGTGGGTATCCTAGCAGGTGCATCATGGTCTCAGCCTTGAGCTTCCCAGAGCCGCCAGGTGTCCACAAGGCCCCAGATGCAAGGCAGGTGGGAAGGGCAGAGGAGCGAAGGCTTCCCCTGGCCTCCAGGCTGGACTGCGGTCTTGGGATGCCGGTTCTGGGATGCCAGCACCAGCCTGGGACTCACCCCCGGACACATGAGCACCCTCCGCTTATCCTCCCAACAAGCTCGGGGAAGTGAAATCACTGTTTCACCACAAGTGAGGACAAGGACACGGAGGCCCTGCGAGATCGTGACCTTTCTACGCGGTGTGCTGCTGGCCTCTCTCTCTCTTTGGAGTCACTGCAGGAGCTCATCCTGGTCTGGGTCAGCCCTGATCCTGATGGGCATGTGCTCCTGGTGGCTCACAGACTCTCAGAGTAATGCATTCTCAGTGTCATTCCCATTTGAGAAACATGGGACCATCCCTTCATCCATCCCCCAAAACTCCCTGCTCAAAGCCACCCATGGCCTGAGTGATGTCTGCATTCCCCAGTCTGCCCTCACTTGTCCCAAGCACCTTCCTGGTAGGGCAGGATCCATGCCGTGGCTGGGACCCAGGCTGGCCTGGGGCAGTGCTTCCTGGGTAGAGCGGAGAACCCTGGGCTGTACCAGGGCTGAGCTGGTCTGAGCGCTTGGAGCTCTCTGCAGGCGAAACAGTCACCCTGGCTCCATCTAGCCCTCCAGCCGAGGACTCAGGCCACTTTATCCATTAAGCAGTGGGTCCAGAGCGGCTGATGTTAAACCTAAATCTCCTGCCTGCCAGGCTAGAACCCACCCCTTCCCACCCACGGGCTCTCTCATCAGTGGTTCTAAAGGGGCCATCACAGGATTACAGCTGGCAGTCCCCGGGGTTTTAGAGCAGTGGCTCTCCACTCCTGAAGCCCACGTGGACATTACCAAGTCCAATCTCAGTGGAGCAGGACCACAGAGAAAAGGCCCCTCTGTCCAAAAGCCCACAGCCTGATACAGCTCGTCACTGGGGGCCGCGTCAAACTGTGCTCAGAGCTAACCATGCAGCCTGGGGTGGGGGAAGGCCTTGCCCCTGCCCCGGAGGGATCTGCTCTTTCTAAAACATCAAGTGCCTCTGCATAGCCATGTCTAAAGCCCTGTTGGGATGGACGCATGACAACTTCCAGTGTCATCCCAGAAAGGGGATGAGAATCCTAGGGCTGAAAGTGACTTAGGGTGGTAGAGAGAGCAGTAGAGGAACATTAGGTGCCCCAGAGTCTCAGAGCTAAAACAAAGCCACCTGGGAACTGGAGTGTGCAAATGCCCAAGGGGCTTCCAGGGGCTGCGAGTTCACTATACCGACCAGCCACCGGGGTCTGCAACCTTGGGTGCTCCTGCACCCCTGGGCCCCCACCCCTTCCAACAGCACAGCAGACACTGTCTTTCTTGAATCTAATTGCGATCCCAGACGTGGGCTTCAGCATCTAGGAGCCAACAGGGCTGGAGGATCCAAAGAGAGGCAAGCATGCAGGAAGGGATAGACCCCCGTCTCTCCTGACTGCCCACCACCATGGTGACGTTCAAGATCTGTTGTTCCCTAGGTTGCATAACAAGGCATTTCCAACTGGCCCCTTCCGGGCAGAGTCCCTGGGATTCATTTGCCTCTGTGCATCCTGGGAGTTGTATCACACCCTGAGATGGACCAGATGCTTTTCCGGGGGGCTGGAGAGTCTGTAATAAAATAAAGCTGGACTTGGGGCTTTACAGACTGGCCTCTCAGGAAAAAAAGATCACCATGACCATTATGGCTTACAGAGTGCCCACTGCAGGCGCCATGCCAACCACATTGCCGTGTTCCCACAGACTGTAATTGTTTTTCTTTGTCTAATTATCTTTGAACCCCAGCCCCTGACCCCCGAGAGCATGAGGCCCATGACACAGGGCCTCATCTCGCTCACTCACCCATTGTCTCCTGGTGCCCGGGCCTGGCATGTAGTAGGCACACACTAACTACTAGGCTTTTACAGAGGAAGAGACTGAGGCTCGGAGAGGCAACGCGTGGGGTGGGACGTGGTGGTGCTGGGATTTGAACCCAGATGATCTCACTCCAAAGCCAGTATCTGAACTCTGCCCCTGGACATCATGCCAGGGCCGGGACAGGGGCAGCTCACCCTGGCTGAGCTGACGGTGGTGGAGGTGCCATGGCTGCCTGTGGACGAGCCTGTGTCGCTGTAGGAGACCATGGAGTAGGTGTCCCCAGCCCCAGAGCCTGGGGGTTGCCGTGCCTTCATAGACTCAATCTCCCGCCTCAGTACCAGGTGGTCGAAGCGGTCCAGATCTTGCGGGGAGATGGTGCCTCTCACCTCAGAGAGGAGCGAGAACTGGAGGTGGAGACAAGTGGGGCACTCAGCAGAGAGCTCTATCAGCAGGTGGATCAGGTCCCCCTGCTACCCCCAAATGACCTGCATGCAAGCCTGACCTCCCCTCCTTAACCCTCTATGGCTCCCCAGTGCCCTCAGGAGAAAGTCCGAAGACCTTTGCCAGGACACCAGGCCCAGCAGCATCTCACTCCTCCTCCTCCACAGGCACACATGCCTGAAAGCCCCAAACGACACGCTGTGTCATGCCAAGAAGCTCATGGCTGTCCTTTCCCCCTACTTGTCTCCAAATCCCATTTCCTCTCTGAAACTTTCCCAAAAGTAACCACCTCCCTCCACACACAGTGGATTTAATCACTCCTTTCTTCATGCAGCTCTGAACTGCAGATGGCACTGGAGCAGGGCTCTCATAGCTGGCCGTGCAGAGACTACGTGGGGAGCTTGGGAAAATGACCAACAGCTGGCCCCACCCACAGCTGTGCAGTTCACGCCTGGGAGGGGCTCGGGCAGCATTCTATGAGCAATCCTGGTGATTCTAAACGTGCACTGATTCGACATATCAGCGAGCACCTCTGCACTGGGGCCCCGCCCACGGCACTTTAACTGTGTTCCCCAGGCATCGGGAGCTTCCCAGGGGGCAGGGGCTGCCTTGGACTCCAGGCTCTGCCCAGGGTTCAGTTCGGACCTGACTCCTTGTAGGTTCTCAGTAAAGAAGCGGGTCGGGGGAGGCGGTCACCTTGGCGTGGGTGTTCAGCAGCTCGAACAGGGCCATGACGAGGGCCTCCACAGAGACGCT